TCACGAAGTCTCGCAAAATATCGCAACTGCTCGCGAGATCTGTGTGACGTCAAGGGAAGCTGGCTTAGACATAGTGGACACTGACAGCGTGGGATACTGGTTGCCATATATGGTAGTGTAGCTAAGCTAACTCCTTTGTATGTATGGTGATATAGTGTCTGAAAGAGCAACACTTCACCCAGACAATGTCAATATGCTGTTGTTCTTGAACAAGAACACATAGACTTGTACTCTTGCATATTGAGTCTTGTATGTACATCACTATGTATGTAGTTGTGTTGTGTAGTTAGTAACACATGTAGAGTTCTAGAAAAGACATGGTGTACACAAGTTGGAAGGGGGCACAATAAACCTGACGAGTTTGAATTTGAGTTGATTATGAGTTTATTTTCAATTGATAATTAGCTCACAATAAGTTCACTTTAGTTACTCACACAACTTGACACAAGTCCGGACTTATAAGTCCGGACCTGAACCTGAACCTCTGGACTTGAGTCCGGACCTGAACCTGAATGTGAGTCCAGGTACACAGCACTAGGCGTCCTATTAGGTTACACGTTCAGCACACACACACACGTTCAGCACACACACACACGTTCAGCACACACACACACGTTCAGCACACACACACACGTTCAGCACACACACACACTTTCAGCACACACACACACGTTCAGCACACACACACAGTCTCACCGTTTTTTGGTGTGTCCCAAACTGGGGGTGGGCGATCCCCCTTCGTCCGACAGCTGGAAGAGGGGAGAGAGAGAGTCCTCGTCCTCCAGTGGGGGGCAGGGGGAGGCTGGAGTACTGGAGGGGGCGGGGCTCTGATCCACAGGGGCGGGGCTAAGGATTGGCTGGACCTCCTCCTCCTCTTCCTCCCCAGGACCAGGGCTCTGGACTGGGATCAGGTCTGGGGAAGAGGGTCTGACGGGAGGCTCCTTCTCTGGACTGGAAGCTGGAGCAGGACTGGGGGCCGGTGGCGCTGAGAGAGGGGTCAGGGGAAGGGTTATTAATGGGAACTATAACTGAATTAAAACAATATCCTTTATATCAAAATAAAAAAAGTTAAAAAGAAAATTATTTTTAATTCGTGCTTATTTAGTTTATTCCTATAATAAATAATAAGGAATACAAATGTGTCTGATGCAGAAAGAAAGGAGCTACCTTGAAATGATATTGGCTGGTTAAAAAAAATATAAATTATAAGACAAACAAAATAAAAAATAGGTTAAAAAAGTATTAAATTAACAAAATGAAACTCCACTGACCTAGGTCGGGGTCCGGCTCTGTCTCTGGTTCTGGACTGGGATCAGGTTCTGGGTTTGTGTTGGACTTCCTCCTGGAGGTGGAGCGACGACGTCCTGTTGTCTTCTCCTTCATCTCTGTGTGCACACACACACACACTTAATCAATCAACGTGAACTCAATGAAGATGAGACTAATCATCAGAGAAGCTCAGGTAAACTCACCTGTCTTCTGGGGGGGGTTTTTCTCCGTGGCGTCCATACTCTCTTCATCATCTACCTGGGCTCGACCTCGACTCCGCCCCCTACACACACACACACACACACACACACACACACACACACACACACACACACACACACACACACACACACACACACACACACACACACACACACACACACACACACACACACGACACACACAACTACACTACACACACATACTAGTT